AAGGGGCTAATGGTTCGACAGATATTCATCATCATAATAATGGTCTTAGCATCAGTTTCTATTAGAATTTTTCTAGCATGAGGTGTAAATGAACAGAGAGTTCGGTGAACCGTTCGTATAGCGTTCGTTTATTTGTTTGTTAAGCTAAATAAATAATTATAAACAAAAGTATTTAGGTTCATTTAATAAATGAACGAACACGAGCATATGTGTGTTCGATTCGTTTATGAGCTCGTTTATCGACTCGTTCATATATGTTCATAAACAATCTCGTTTACCCAGTTCTTTTCCTTTTATTTATTTTATTTTTTAAATATTGATGAAGGTAGGGACTAAAGTGAACACATGATAAAAGTTAAAATTTAAATTGTGAATTTTAAAGAGTTTTAGCACTAGTGGCATAATTTTACCATTTTCTTTAGCTTTCCGATGAAAGGATAACACTAAAAATGGAACATATAAATGAACATTGGACGAATATGTTCATAAACACTAAATGAACATATTCATAAACATATAAAGAAACACGTTCACGAACATTAAACGAACGTTGTTCATGTACAATAAATAAACGAACATCAACACGATATGAAAGTTTTAAACAAACACGAACCGAATATGAACACTTTCAAAAATAAACAAACAAACATGAACGTAACTTTATTAGTTCAAGCTCGATTCATTTACGCACTAATTAGCACTCCTAGCTAGCATTGCGCCCATAACATCGAAGTTCTATTGAAAAGGCATATGAGGATAAGGGTGTAAATGAATAAAATATTTAACTCTTATATAAGATACATAGGTGTCAAAGCCTCAATTATACCCGACTCATAACCATTTCTAATCTCGATTGTGAAGAGGCTACAAAGTGACACTCACAGGAACGCCATCCCTAATATCCATCAAATGAAAACTTGCTTGGTTAGTGCGTTGTAGAAATGAATTTTTTTTTTGTAAGGAGCGGTACAAATTTATTTGTTTAAATGAGATGGATGCTACAGTATTTAGAGAAGTCAGTTGGATTATCCATCGTCTTTAACGGTAAATATAAGATATAATATATTTTCATATATTTATTTGGAGAAGATGTTGAGTCTTCTATATATTTTCATAAAGACGTCAGGTGATTTAAACACCTTCTTTATTTCTCTGTAGATATGATTCTATTTGAAAAAATAAAATTTGATAATATCTACTTGTGAACTTTTTTCACCTTTTTACTATCCATCACATGATGATGCACGTGGATCCAGGTTACTCTCCCACGTGACCTCCACCCTTCCCTCCTCAACCTGACATACCCTAATTTCCAAACTCTTCTCCTGTTGCATGCAAATGCAATGCATTGCATAATGATGAAAAAGGAAAAAGTGGAAGATTTGAAGTAAAAGCACACATCACGTGTAAATCAGAGAGATAATCATTAAAGATGAATATTTTGTTCCCTTATGACAAAGATTTGGTTAAAGCAGGAGTTTGCTGATACTAATTACATTATACCAAATTACATATCTCAGTTGTCTTTGTGGTTGAATGATTGATTCCGGAGATCTTGTTTGTCGATCATCAATGAGAATCTGTAATTAGCATATTTTAGAACGAGTATGTTTTGAGTTTTGGAGCAATATTAACTGTGTTAATGGGCATTAATTTGCAATTTCCATTTTTGCATGGCAGCTCCCTATCCATCCAGGCCATCTCCAAAATTAAAATCAGGTCTCACGCGTTCACTGGCCTTGGGACAAGACAACAGTGCTGACCCCCACACGTTCATTAGCCTCGTGATTTGGTGTAGGCATGCAGGTAAAAAGCTACTCAGGGCCCCATCGAAGGACACCTTCTAGGCGGGTAAGAGATTGCTGTGCGCATGATTTACAATCAAATCCGACGGATTTTCAAAAGATCGTGGTCCCAGCCTGTGGGGGGATTACACTAGCTTTTGCTATCCCATTTTTCATCAGTCAACGAGCAAGAAAGCCGCTTTATAACCCAATAACCTCCCCCAAGACAACCTTACAGTACAATTTACACGTCCTTCAAAGTGTAGCTAGCTAGCTGAATCATGGTTGAATGGGATATTAAACTAGCGTTGAGTCGATTCATGCAATTGCAAGCTGAGCCAAGAAAGAAAAAGGGTTAAATAAAATCATGATTGAGCCAATATGGTCACTGACATAAGTCATGATTTGAATTTCTGCCCGTCTCTCTCTATCTCTTTGTCTGCCTCTGTTTTATCTCTATATATGTTGTCCCATCCTTTCACCGTTGTGCTCTACCAAAACCAAAAGGCTGTTCAAGCTCAAGCCATTTTCTACACTCTTCTGTTTTGCTTTTTCTCATAAACCAAACACACTAGGGAGATAAACCAGAAAGGAGGAGGAAAAAAAGGACAGGAGATGGGGGACAAAAATGATGGTTTGGGGTTAAGTTTGAGATTGGGATGTGGTCAGAATCAACCTTCTTTGAAGTTAAATCCCATGCCTTTAGCTTCACCCTGCATGCAAAACATTCAGCAGAGGAACATTTGGAATGAGCTGTTTCGGTCTTCTGGTATTTCTTATCTTTTTTCTGTTTCTTAGTTACATGAAATCTTAATATGCTAAGATCTGATGTTTTATTGACGTTATGTTGCCAATGGGGTTTGTCATGTTACATTTTTTTAGCGTTTTGTGATTAACCATATGCCTGCAGAACGACAGTTGGATACAAGATCGGTTCTTGGTGGAATTGATGTGAACCGAGCACCAGCAACGACTGAATGCGAGGAGGAAGGTGGGATCTCCTCGCCCAACAGCGCCGATTCTAATATAAGTGGGAAGAGAAATGAGAGAGACCCTGTGGGTGACGAAACAGAGGCTGAGCGACCCTCGTGTTCTCCATCCAGTGACGATGAAGATGGCGGCGGAGGCGACGATGATGCCTCGAGGAAGAAGCTTAGGCTTTCAAAGGAACAGTCGGTGGTGCTTGAAGAAACCTTCAAGGAACACAGCACCCTTAATCCAGTTAGTTAATTGTTTTTGTCTTTTAGTAAATATAGGCAGTTCAAGAATTCGATATTTGAAGTGAATGTCGAAGTGGTTGTGTTCAAAAACAGAAGCAAAAGTTGGCACTGGCAATGAAATTGAATCTGAGGCCTAGGCAAGTGGAGGTTTGGTTCCAGAACAGAAGAGCAAGGTAAGTTAATCATTTTTTTAATAATCCGAGTGATTACAACTTATACATCCTACATGTTGCATATGGCATACGCAACTATTCGAACCCGATTTTTTACGGGAAACAACATTATTTAACTAATAGCTAAGGGTATTATGATGGAAAGTGGACAATTAAGCATTTTCTTTGGTGCACGCACAGGACAAAGTTGAAGCGGACGGAAGCCGACTGTGAGTATCTAAAACGATGTTGCGACAATCTGACAGAGGAAAACAGAAGGTTGCAGAAGGAAGTGCAAGAGCTTAGAGCATTAAAACTCTCTCCACAGCTTAATATGCGCATCAACCCTCCCACAACCCTCACCATGTGCCCTTCTTGTGAACGTGTATCTTCGTCTTCATCTTCTGCCGCCTCCACCCCAAAGCATCACCACCTGGGTCCCGGTCGTCAACGACCGGTGTCCGTTAGTCCTTGGGCCGCATTGCCATTGCCCATTACTCATCAATCATTCAATGACCCTGCTTCTAGATCATAGTTTGAATATGTTTGGAGAACAGATACCACCAAAATAGTGTCCCCAAGGGAACGAATCAGCTTCTCATGGATCTTAAGGAACAATGTGCACGTCTTGAAAGCAGTTGTGTCCCCATACATGTAACATTTTATCGGAGAATACTCAGCAATGTAAGTCGATGGATATTAAGACTTCTACATATGTGTCGTTGTTCAGTTATCCCGTACACATAAAATTATGTTTTTTTCTTATTATTTTGTTTTTCATTTTATTTATGAATGACGTTAACGCTAAAGTTTTCGTCTGGAAAATCTATCGCGTTAATAAAGATACACCTACAAATCATGCTTTTAAAGTATACTTCTTACGTATGCATTTTTATTGAAAAGATAAATATTTTTCAAACAAAATTACATGAGTATAATTTAACTAAATAAATATAAAAAGGTATTATTTCCAAAATATTATCAAAGAGGGACATACTAGTAATGGTGGAAATGAGACTAGATAAATTGTGAATTATTCGTGTTTGACTCGATTAAAACTTGGACCATTCTTGAATCGAATAGGTTTGACTCGAACTCAAACTCTACTTAAATTCTTAAAGAGTCGAAGTGAGCTACTTCATATACAACTTGAGAAACTTGCCAACAACTTGAAAAAAATGAAATTTTAAAATTAAATTATTAATAATATTATCATTTAAAATTTATTTTAATAAGAAAATACAATATAAGACTTGTATATATAAGATTCAAGTTCAAACTCGAGTTTGAGATTCATTCAAATTATATGAGAATATTTTGAGTTTAAATTTTTACGAGCTTGAGTTGAGTTTCATTCTATTTTGAGTTTAAGTTAAACTTGACAAATTTAAACTTGTGAATTTTTTAACCGAGTTGAACATAATTTTACATATTTTAAATTGAATCGAACTGGCAATTCTCAATTCCATTCTTTTACGGACGTACATACCAGTATAATTAAGGAAAATCCATTGAAACGACGTGGTTCAAACCTTCTACCCAAAAGGACCACGGTTGTTCTCTTTACCGGTCCAATAACAGAGCGACAATGCAATGTCGTTGTAAAAGGCCAATTATGTCATTTGATTCAACGGTCCCGAAATTAGTACAATAGTTCTTAATTTTTTTATTTTAATTAACTGGACTCTCTTTGCAACCGAACTATTATTTCCTTGTTTTCAAAGTCTTCCTTTCTTGCAGCAATCAAAGTATTGTTAAGTGTCCTCTTTTTATCCTCGTTTTCACCAAAAAGAAGAGAAACCCAACAAAACAAGCTGAATCAGAGAAGCTTTTGTTCTTTAATAATGGCGGATTTATACCCTCCCTTCCCGACCAGACCCTCCACAAAGGCTAACCCCATACACAGAAACGATAGAAGTAATAACTACACGCGCCGTTTTCTTGGTAAGTTCCTGTTTTTCACTTTCGTTCTCATCGCAATCCCATTGTTCCCTCCCTAAACTCCAGATTTCATCAACCAAACAGTGCTCAACAAGTTTTGGGAACTCCTCCATCTATTGTTCATCGGCATTGCTGTTTCTTATGGCTTGTTTGGTCGTAGATCAAATGCTGATAATGTTAGTCATGAATATTCTCACTCGTATGCTTCTGGAATTTCCCATTTTTCGTCTGTTTTTGAAGATGATTTTGATCATTCGATATGCTATAGTGTACATGGCAAAGCTGGGTCTTTTAATGTTAAAAATGGTAGCTTTGAGAGCCCTTACGTGGAAAATGTTGTTCAAGCTTGGAGTTCAAAGTGCGTTCTAGGGGAACACATGGTTGTATTGGCTCGACCGCATTGTGAATTGGTTTCGTTTGTAGATCATAAACCCTTGGGGTTGCCTGTTAGGAGCTTAAAATCCGGGGTTGAATTTGGCACTGGATCAAGTGAGTTCTCTGGTACAAATGTGGTGGATTCGTCTGATAGTTCTGATAAGAGTGAAGGTGAGAGTTCTAGTGATTTAGGGTCTGAAAGTTTGGAAGGAAAGTATAACGAGAATGATGTTTTGGATTCTCCGATCCCTTGGCGGTCGAGATCTGTAAGGATGCTACAAAGAGTTGGCGGCGGCGGTGCCACTCGGGCTTCTCATTTTAGGCCTCTCTCAGTTGATGAAACTCAATTTCAATCACTCAAATCACGGTCTTTCTATTCGGAACTCAGTCCACATTCACCGAGTAGCTTATCTCCCTCACATTCTAGTTCACCGGAATCACTGAATTCCGATGAATTGAAGTAATTCAGTGACAACAAAAAGGATGATTCATCAAATGGTACTAAAGAACGGATTTCAGATTATCCCCTGAAATTTGATGCAAAACCAGTAGCTCCCTCTAAAGCTTCCTCGAGACGAAAGTCGTTTCGGAGCTTTAGAGGTAGTGGCAATACCAGAGGTGAAAGTTAGCTGAATTTCGGTCATTATAATCTCTCAGTTGGGTTCAAAAGGCAATATCTTGGAGGTAACTCTAGCATGCAAAACCCGACATTTTCCAAGAACCAGAACCGAGAACAACGGGAGTGTTCGGAGTCGGAGAAAGATGATGAAGATTTCCGAGTAAGCTCGGATGAAGATTTCCGAGTAAGCTCGGATGAAGAAACCATATCCGGGACTTTGAGTGTAGCGGGAAGTGATAGTTATGTGGTTGATAGGAAGGCTGGTGAGTTCATAGCCAAGTTCAGAGAGCAGGTTAGGCTTCAAAGAACAACATCAATTGATTCACTAAAAGGGCTCAAGCCATCTGGTAATTTTTTCAGATGAAAATTATTCTATCATGTCTTACTTGACATGATATAGGTGAAATTTGAAAATAAGATTTATTTTCTCTCTTTGTTTGATCAAGTTTATGCAGAACCATATATTCAATTGCTACAACGTGTTTTGAATAATTCATTGAGTTTTACTTTTATGGATGAGAATGATATGACCATAACAATGTCTCTATCACTAATTCACTATGCTCGGCAACTGTTATTTTGTGGTTCAGAATTTTAAAAGTCATTAAATAACAAATTTATTAGGATGAAAATTAGGTCAGAGGGTTCATCTCTAAAATAGAATTTTATAATATTTTATTTAAATTAATTATTTAATAGATTAAAAATCAATAGTTAAACCCCAAACAAATTTAAAAAATATAATTAACTATATAGTTATAAATAATTATGTACAAATCATTCAATCATCACTTTTAACTAAGGATGGATCGAGGGAGGCAATCGTTATTGAAAATTTCAAATTCTTCATCTAATTTCAAATTCCCAAACAAATTTAAAAAATATAATTAACTATATAGTTATAAATAATTATGTACAAATCATTCAATCATCACTTTTAACTAAGGATGGATCGAGGGAGGCAATCGTTATTGAAAATTTCAAATTCTCATCTAATTTCAAATTCATACTAAATGAAGTAAAAAAATTGATACCAACTTTCTCCAAAATGTAAATAGGCAAGTAAATTCAAACCAACCACCACCAATTTGATATTTCGATAGCTACACCATGTTATTATTTATTATAAAAAATAGAAAACTATATTATCTTTGAATAAAATTATAGAAAAGTTATTTCTTTGACTATAAATAAATAACATTTAACTTATTATTTTACTGTTCTCATGTCTCACTATATAAATTGATATGAACGTAATATAATTCATTATTAGAATATTAATTAAAATCTTATATAATTATGTTATGATGGTCTAATATATTTTTAATTTTTTATAAAATAAAATTAAATAATGAATAAAAAATATTATCTTATGCAGTCAGTAAATTTTTTAGATCTTTATAAACAAATTAATAAGATATATTTTCTCTTTCTAAAAACAAAAATATATTATTGAGAAAGTTAAAAACGAGTAAAAGAAATCATTATTAGGTTTATTTTGTAGTATTAACATAAAATGGACTACCAGAAATCATATTTTTTTGGACTGAATTATATTAATAAATACGTCAACCACTTTGTTTTTTTTATAACCACGCATTTTTTATTTATAAATCGACTAATCTGGATCAAATACGACAGAGATAAGTGCGTCTCTCTAAACCCAATTTACTTCATTCGCAAATGTCGAAATTTAAACTCCTGACCTCAAGGACAGAGCCAATATTACTTTTTAATAGGGGCTGAAATATTGAATTTTTTAACAAAAATATAATGACTTATTAAGTATTTATATTCAAAATTCAGAAAATAATATGTCTTTGTCTAATATTTAAACTTAAAATGATCTAAATCATTATTAGATCAAAAATTTTGAAACATGAGATTATTCATCTTTAATTTGCTCTTAACTTAATTAATTATTTAAAGAAAATTATATTTTTTAATTTAAATATTTAATTTTACATGAACAAAAATAATAATAAACCAAAATTTAATGAATGTATAATTTTTTATGGGAATCGAGGTCCCTTTAATCCCTAAAGAAGCTTCGTCCCTATTTGTTCTTAATAAATTTAATATTTTATCCCACTGGAACAGTTATACACGTCAACCATTTTCTCATTGAATTATAATAAGATCGAAGAATTAGGGAATGTTTGTTTACTGTTGAATGGTGAATCGTTCAACATTCAGCGTGTTTGATTCTCACTTCTGAATGAAGACTGTGTTGAATGATTCAGCAAAACACTGCTGAATGATTCAGCAAAACACTGTTGAATGATTCAGCATTAAAGTACATTCTGAATGATTCAGAACTATTATCAAACAACATGTCATATTCAGAGCTAATTCATACATGACCTTTGAATCATTCAGGCAATTGAATCATTCAGCGCTTAATCATTTTGATTTAATCAAACAGCCCCTTAGGGGGTGTTTGGATAAAGGAATGTGAGATTCCCATGGGAATGGAATACACATTCCTATGTTTGGTTGGTTGAGAATCTCATTTCCGGTAATGTTTTATTACCAATAGTAGATTTTTTTTGAGTATATTAATGTAAATGTCATTACCTCCATTTCCTTATGTATTGCAACATTACCGACGTTTTGGACTAAAATGCCCTTAAAAAAATTTTCTTCAAAAATATCATTCTTTTGTCATTGAATAATAAAAATTCTACAAATATTAAATTACAAATTTATCCTTAAAATATTTTAGATTTACAAAAAAAATCTATAATTAAAATTTTATATGAAGTTTAGGGGTTAAAAAAAATTTACCCTTTCATTAAACCTTTTTATATTTTAAATTTTGTAAAAAATATTATGAATTTAATTTTTTTAAAGAAAATATATAAATATTTTCCAATTTGTTAAAAAAATAAATATATAATAAAGACAATTTGGTCAAATATACATTCCAATAATCTTTTATTCATTTAACAAAACACTATAATCTTACATTCCTGCTAAACCAACCAAACACAAAATACAACATTCTCATTAATCTTATTCCCTTGTAATCTTACATTCTCACTGGTAATCTTATATTTTGTGAACCAAACGCACCCTTAGGGTGTGTTTGGTTGGGGGAATGTGAAATTCCCATGGGAATGAAATCCATATTCACCGTTTGGTTGGCCGGGAATGTCATTCCCGGTAATCTTACCTTACCAATAGTGGATTTTTTGGGTATATTACCGGGAATGTCATTACATCCATTTCTTTAGGTATTGTTGGATTACCAGTGTTTTAGACTAAAATGCCCTTAAAAAAATTCTTTAAAAAATATATTTATTCTGTCATTGAATAATAAAAATTTTACGAAGGTTAAATTATAAATTTATCTTTAAACTATTTTATATTTATAAAAAAAATCTATAATTAAAATTTTATATGAAGTTCAGGGGTTAAAATAAAATTTTACCCTTTCATTAAACCTTTTTATATTTTAATTTTATAAAAATATATATATATATTTTATGAATTTAAATTTTTTAAAGAAAATATATAAATACTTTCTAACTTGTTAAAAAATAAATATATAATAAGGTAATTTGTTCAAATATATATTTTAATAATCTTTTTTCTTTTAACCAAACACGGTAATCTTACCTTCCTGCTAAACCAACCAAACATAAAATACAATATTCCCAATAATCTTATTCTATGATAATCTTTTATTCCCACTGATAATCTTTTATTCACACTAATAATCTTATATTCCGTGAACCAAACGTACATTTAGTATTTGGTTCACGAGATTGGTGCGTCATCACTTTATCCGGATAACGTCGTCGTTTTAAGATGGTCCCCGGCCCCGCTGTGGCGTTAGGTTTTCGAGTTTCCTTAATGAAGGAGATTAGAAATTAATTACACCTTAATCCAAATCTAAATTACGGAGCGTCAGTTTCCTAGGAGGTTGTTGGAGAAAGGAGAGGAGGGAAAAAGTAACTGACTCTGCAAGAAAAGGGCCAAAATTAATGCTTTGTATTTTAAATCCTTTTATTTCGAATTCGTTTCACTTGGCGTTTCTTCTTTATTTTCTTTCCTCCACCCTCAGAAAATTTCTCTTTCCCCCTTTATTTTATCTTAATTTTCAAGAGTATGCATATTTCTAGGTCAAACATGTTTTCATCTTCCCATAGTTGGAAATTGCTTTAAGATCTCAATTTCTTTTGTTTGATTAAAGTTTTCATCTGTTTGAGTCGATGGTCGTTTTCGTTTTTTTTTTCTCTTCTTATTTCCATGTTATTCTCTTTGTAGATTCCAGTTAGTAATTTAGATCAAAGAATACTTTATCTTCTTGTTAGTTTGAGTGTTTTTTGTTTGATTTTAGGGTTCAACGGTAATTCTCTCTATTTTTTTTAAATGTATGTATCTTTGTGAATCAATCGAGAGGAAAAAGAAAGAAAAGAAAAATATGCATATTGAAGAATTGAAGGAAGGGGGGCACCAGGATCAAGATCAGAGTCAGTTGTGTGGAGATAGCCTGGTTGTTTGGGATGCAAAGCGGGTTTTTGTGGGAGCTGGAGCTCGGGCTCTTTTTTATCCAACGTTGTTGTACAATCTTGTCAGGAACAAGATCCAGTCTGAATTTAGGTGGTGGGATAGAGTTGATGAGGTATAATATAACATTTTTTATGAAATTTAATTTGCTCTTGTGTTTCCCCTCTTTTGACAAATATAGTGAATCATGCCTCAAAACAATGAATTATTGAAGTATTTTTGTTGCAATTTGTTCGGCTATTGGGCAAGGGAAGGGGGAAGTAGGGGTTTGTATCTTATTTATCATATATATATTTTTGTTGAATGTAGCTTAGTTTTCCAGGAACCCTAGTTGTTTGGTTTGATTATACTGATGAGTGATGACGGAAGTTAATTGGATTGTTTGCGAATATCTGTTAAATCCTTTTCTGTATCCCACCTTTTCTTTGATTAAGCTTTTGTTTTGCTATGAATTATGCTGACTATGCATGTTTTATGGTTATGTGCTAAATTCTTTTTCTCTCACTGCCTTGAGTTCAGTTTATTTTGTTAGGTGCTGTGCCTTTCCCTGCCGATGTTCCGCTGTTGAAGGATCTTGGTGTCTCTGGAGTTGTGACCTTAAATGAACCATATGAAACTCTGGTCCCAACATCGCTATATCATGTGAGTGCTATTTTGTTGTCGCTATATCTTGGAACGTGATATATGTTCAAATGAAAAATCACAAAATTTTAGATAATAGTTGTTTCATTGGAAATATACCTACTCAACCTTGAAAAGCTAATTAATCTGAGCAATCTTTTAGTGAGTGGGAAGTTCAGATGTTGAAGCCAGAGCCCTTTAAGTTGAACACGGTTTCATCTTTATCTT